TTAGAAATGTACTTTACTATAGGTACATACATACTTTCAATCTTTCGAAGTTTGGCAATTTGTGTATGGCACTTTAATAAAAATGCTTTTGACATTTCAAATGAAAGTGGTTATCATAAAAATGCTACACCATATTTTCTCGGTTACCCTATTGAGGGCATCAACTACACAGGTGAAGTGTATCTTCTTAGTATATTTCTGAGGTAAAATATCGCCTTTGTTTAATAGTAACATTATAGTTATTAACGTTACAAGGCCAACAACAAGTAAATAACGGGCGAGGTGGAGTTTGTAATCTAAGGCGTAGCGTAGCCGAGGTTTATAATACACCGAGGACGTTATTTATGTATCGGCCGTGTGTTGTTTAACGGTTTTCGTTACACCAGTATCATTTATTTCATTTAACATTTCATTTAAAAAGCAAATTTCACAAATAATATGGACATGCCAGAGAAATAAAAGCATCAAGTTATAAGGCGGTTGCTAGGTAATAAGTATGTTTGTATTGTAGAAATTTATAACTGACGTCTAGCATAAAGAAGCGTCACGTTAACTTTCATTTGAAGGTTGTCAAATTTATCAGAATAATAATCAATTTCCATGTACATTATAATGAAAAATAAAAGCTTTGTTTAACAGGAAATCATTATAATTATCTAATAGGTAAATGCAGTTGTATGTTGTGCGATTGTGTGTGTGTGTGTATGTGTGTGTGGGTATGTGAAGAAATCTTAACGGCCGGCGTCCGTTAAGGATTCTTAATGGACGCCGGCCGTTAAGGACCGGTTATCGTGTCTATTTTGGGGTATATTAAATGAAAATAACAGTATGGTGTAACGAAAAAGCAATTATAAACAAATGTGACAACTATTTTGCAAATAATTTTCTGCAGCACTTTAGATGCCAGTAAATTGCCATTATTAGCATTATCACTATTTGACATTCCAATTAAAAACTGCTACCAAGAATGCCTATAGGTATCACGAGCTTCACGTATAATAAAATAAATAACTGGTTTTATTAAGTTCATAGAAAAACCAGTATTTAATGATGAATGATCCAAAGTTATTCGAATGTCTTTTAACTTTAGTTTTTATAATTTATAATTCGTTCATAAACATGCAAAACAGGTGATTTCTTAGAATACTATGTGCTATAATCAGGATAAATATAGATATTTAAACACATACACTGAGCTCGTAAAGTTTGGAATAAATTTGATAAATCATTATTGAAGGGTTTTGGCAGGAAATCCTCGGACACGTCAACTTTAGTTTATAAAATGTCACTTTTTTCAGCCATCGACTTTTTTTAGTTTTGTTTGCTTTTGAGCTATGACGTCATCGGCAATTTTTTTAAATGGCAAACCAAAATTTTTTTCCACGGATTTCGATAGAGCACATTTTTCTGAGTACGAATATGTCAAAAACGTATGACCTTCAAGATGGAAGTTTTCGAGATAATAGACAGTTTAAGTTGATTGTAGATGATCATGATACTAATTTGAGCATGCGCAACGGTAAAATTCTACGTATACGTTATGTCCGATACATAACTTAAACTGTCTATTAGGTTCCAAAGTTTCAAGGATGTACCATATACAAGGTATCGAGTGGGTCAAGTTTTTTAATAGCTTATCGAACATTTTAAGAGATTTTAGGAGCAATTTGTTTTAATTTTTTAAGTAATAATCAACAACAATTTTAACAAATAAAAAAAGGTTTCTGTGCAAATGATAAATAATTAAAGTAAACAAGAAAATCAGAGGAAATTTTCAAAGTGACCTCCATTCACTTCTTGGCAATATCCCATTCGCCACTGAAACTCCTGCAGAACCTTATGAAGAATATCTGGTTGAATGGCTCGAATTTCATTGCGAATTCTGTCCTTTAATTCTTCAATGGTATTTGGTCTATTGAAGTAGACTTTGCTCTTTAAATAGCCCCATAAAAAGTAGTCTAGGGGAGTGAGATTCGGAGATCTAGGGGGCCATTCGATAGTTCCTCTTCGACCAATCCAACGGTTAACAAATATTTGGTTTAAATAGTCGCAAACGAACACTGCAAAATGAGGAGGTGCACCGTCTTGTTGGTACCATATCGTGTTATTGGGCAGATCGGGATCTATGTCATTTGAGTAAAGCACCGCAAGTGCAGGGACTAAATCGTCTCTTAAAAATTCAAAATATTTTTCACTTGTTAATGCGCCTTCAATAAAAAATGGACCCAAAATGCGGTTACCGACAAGGCCAGCCCAAACGTTAACTTTTTGTGGAAACTGACTACGAGTTTCCATTTTCCAGTGGGGATTTTCAGGAGACCAATATCTACAGTTTTGCCTGTTTACTGTGCCGTCGAGATAAAAGGTAGCCTCATCAGAAAAAATAATATTGCGTAAGAATCCGTCGTCATCAATCAGGCGTTGCAACATGGTTTCACAAAACTGTAACCTACGGTCAGGATCATCTTCGTTTAATTGTTGGACCAAAACCACTTTATACGGATGCCATTTGTACAATTTCAAATATTTTAAGACGGAGCTTTGAACTATTCCGTTGTTTGCCGCCACTTGGCGGGTGGGTAAATGGGGATTTTCTTGAAGCTCTAGTAGAACATTCAATTTAACATCTTCTTGTACTGGTGGACGACCCGTTCTAGGGCGATCTCTCGCATGACCCATTTCTAAAAACTTTTGCTCTATTTTACTAACCGTGGACTGTGTAATTGGTTCTCTGTTTGGATATTTGTTATTAAATAAACGGCAAACTTCTACTTGTGTGCGAGCTCTGTCCCCGTAACCGATCATCATCAAAATTTCGATTCTTTCCCTTTCACTCAAACGACGAACCATTTTCAAATAAAATGAATTCTGATAGAATAATGATTAATTAACTTAAAATAAAACACAAACTTGCGAGGACAAACTTCAAAATTCTGACAACTATCAAAACTGTAATTTTTTCAGAGCTTCCTTGATAAATGATTAGTACTTTGTCATCGCTTGTATAATGCATTCTTGAAACTTTGGAACCGAATATCTCGAAAACTTCCATTTTGAAGGTCATACGTTTTTGACATATTCGTACTCAGAAAAATGTGCTCTATCGAAATCC